TAATTCGGACATATTAATAAGCAACCCAATTAATTAATTATACATCACTTGTCAATTAATTAATTGGTAAATCTCATTCTTCTGGTTCTCTTTTGTGTGTGACCCATTAGGTTCCCGTTCACAATGCCTAACGACGTGAATTATTATTTTGATTTAATCAAAATCGATAAATTAATACACCCCCTTTTAATTTATCATTAATTCACATTCTTCGTCCCAAATTGACATCTAGCAATGTGTCGGGCAATACATGTGACGGAAAATGTCATGTGATGTGACAAAATCAAACTTGTTCGTTTACCGTGAAACTATAATTCTTTCGTCAATATGATCCGATCAATTATGAAATATGGATATGTGTCAATCTCAATTATCGATCATATATTTTATCCCTCCGTTAAATCAATGTAAGTCGAAAACTCATTTTCGACTTATGAGTTCACCTTGACCAATGATTTCATTATCAACTTAACTGAATAAAATGTAGATCATAATCTCTTACTATCTAAAAGTGACGAATCATCTATCAATCATTCACAACATTCATATGATTCTTGACATACCCGAACGATGTTGTATTAGCGACTCTTAGCAGAGCAACATCCAACACCACCAAAGTATGATTGTCCTCAAAATGGGACTTTCGGAATTCTTCCAGCACCAAATGGTGAGTCATCTGCCATTTTGCGTGTAGAATCTGCATCCTCTACTGACCATCCTCTTCTTTGATCTCCACTATCGGATGGCCATGACAAACTTCTTTGCTGCATAAATGAAAATTTCGGAATTCTTCCAGCGCCAAAGGGTGAGTGGTGTTCCATTTTGCATGCAGAATCTGCATCCCCTTGTCCCGTACCAAACAGATGGTGTTTTCTTCTACAATCAGAATCTTTTCTCCTTTTCTCCTTTCTGTAGGCTTAAGAACATGCAGAGACTCCAACTCAGTGAGCATTTTCGTGGCACGCTCAAAGGAATTAGCATATGATTCATCCACATGAATCATGATCATTTTTAGATGGAACTCTTACAGTTTGAAGCAGAAACTTGGCTTCTGTCAACATGTTCGTATGCATCAAGCATACAGCCAGATTGCACTGCTTATTCTTATCTGGCTCAAAGGAGAGTCTCTTCTCGGCATCATACTGTTCCACGTGTGAGTTTTTATATTGAAAGAACTAGCTCACAGCACAAACGAAATACCTGTAATGCTCTTCTGCAGTTTTGAAATCTCCCTGCTACATGTATGCCCAGGCCAAATTCCCTAACAATCTGAAGTTTAATTTTGAAAGGAAACAAATGAGTAATATATAAGAGAACTTAGAATATTAATTTATGAGTTGAGGATAAGTAAATGTAAACAGCTACCTTAAATACTCTATTTCAATTGTAATTTGAATCTTCTTCCCTTGAGATCTAGCAATCTTTGTCTTCTTCCCACTGAAAGCTATCTCTTCTTCCAACAGCTTCAGTTTTAGCTGAAGCATTTCAATCTCTTCCTCTATCCTTCCAGATCGCTGCATGAATAGGAAAAGTTCTCCTGAAAGTGTTTGGACAATTCAATATGCCAATGATCATGTAAGTAAAATGTTAGGGATTAAAGTCAAAATCTCGTTTGCGGGGAGCAACAATAAACAAACAAAATCATAAAAAATTTAGACAAGACAAACAAACACACATATTCATAGTGGTTCTTGAGAGCTACATCCACTTGTCCCCCTAGGTTTTCACTATGAAGGAGAAAAAGGGATTACAATGGTAAGTCCGCGATCAAGGGCATAAGCAAAGAGTATCTTTGGGCTCCAGTCCTCATTATCCAACAATAATTACTGAATCCAGCATGAATACCATGTCAGCTAGACAGCTACATGAATAGCCTTAATTGGATCCTTGTTTATCAACTGTCATCGAACATGTAATAATCATCTACCATCCCTATGAATTAATCAGATGAATTAAAGTCAAGAATAGTAGGATACTCCAAGAACAATTCAATTATATTCCCACTATGAGGATTTGCTTTTTCTGGAGCCGTTTCTGTAAGGTCAGGACACGCGATATTAAACTAAAGAACTGAAAATA